GTCAGAAATAATATATATATATATATATATATATATATATATATATATATTTGTCCAAACAATAATTTTTTGGTCAAAGAACTGAAGACAAGAAACCCTATAATGGTATCTACAGCACTATCTATAATAACTATAATGGTCAATTTTCTAGGATACACACTTAGCAATCTTGTTATTAGTGTCTGAAGTGATGATGGCTTAAGAGGATGCTCCTCTTGCTTCCAAACCAGGGAGATGAAACAGGATGTTATTTCTTTGTGGGCAACTAAATGAAATGTCATTAAAAAAGCCTTAAACTCCATCCAACCTAAAGTATCTTCTCCAGACCCTAAAATTTAAACTATATATTCCAAATCCAACATGGCAACTAGATTTAGCTGAACTAAATGAAAGGCACAATCTAAACTTTTGCTGCATTAATGTGCAATTTCCTTAATCCCCTAAAACTGTAATTCTCCATCTCAGGAATCAATATTGAATTTTCATACATTGTTGCCATTTGGTTCCTTGAGAATGATTTATAGACTTTTTGAATGTTGGCAGTCTTAATTTCTCAATTGAAAATGGACAGTGACATCAAGATTATGTCAAACTTTATATGGATATGGATAGCATGTACATATTCATGTATGTGTGTATATATACATATCTGTATGTATATAGAAATAAGTATGTGTATGAATCCAGAGATTTAGCGAGGGTTTAGGTACAGAATGGCAGCTCTAGCTGTAGCAAGGGAAGGTGGTAGAAGAAATCCAAAGGTATCTGGCAATCTGGCTTTCAGTCCTCAGCACTCAAAGGAATTACCAAGAAAACCCTATCAAATGCAGATCTTTGGATTCTGCCTCAAAGGATTCTGATTAGGTCTGGGTGCCACCTTGGGAATCTGCATTTTCTCAGGCTCCTTAGCTGAATCTGCACTTTGAGGTCACCAAGCAATACCCTGAAAACTGCCCACAGGCTCTATATCTGACATCAGCTATTACTGTCATTGGTGGCCAGCAAGAAATGGTATTTTGCTAGGAATAAAAATGAGGTGAGGGGCTGGGGAGATGGCTCAGTAGAATAAGCATTTCCCTGGCAAGCGCAAGGGTCTGAGTTCAATCCCCGGTTCCGCCAAAAAAAAAAAAAAAAAAAAAAAAAAGAGAGAGAGAGAGAGAGAGAGAAATGAGGTGAGCAGGAGCTGAGAGGTTTAAAAGTTCAGGTTGAGAAGTCACCTGACCAGGGGCTGTATTAATTTCCTAGGCTGCCATGCAAATTAGCACAAGCTGGGCAGTTTAAAACAATAGAAATTTATTCTATTACAGATTTGGATGCCAGAAACCCAAAATTAAAGTTTTGGTGGGCCGGGGAAGATAGCTCAGTGGCATTAAGTGCCTGCCTGGCAAGCGCAAGGTCCAGAGTTCAACCCCTGGTCCCACAAAAAATAAATAAATAAAATAAAAAATAAAGCTTTGTCAGAGTTATGTTTTCCCCAGAGAATGCAGAATTCTGTCCCTTTCCCTCTCCAGCTTCTGATGGCTTTCAGTGTGCCTAGTCGTATTGTGGCTCGTTCCAATCTGTCTCCATCTTCACATGCTTTTCTCCTGATTTTTCTCTTACATGGACACTTGTCATTGGATTTGGAGTCCACCTCTAGATAATCCAGAATGATCCTGAGACTTTTAATTTAGTTACAAGACCCCCTTCGCCGAAGTAAAGTCACACAGAATCACAGATTCCACAAAGTAAGACATAGATATATCTTTTGGGTGACCACAATTCAACCAACCACACAGGCTAATCCTGGGAGAAATAGCCTGGTTGCTAAAGCAAGAGAAATGGAAGGGATGTGGTCAGCAAGATAATGTGGTTCCAGTACTAGAATTCATGTTCAAGGGCAAGTAAGGCGGAATCAGGTGAGAAACGAGCCCAAAGGCAGCCACTAGTGGGTGAGCAGGTTGGAGTGGGACGAACAGAAGAGCTGACTTTGTGTTGCCTGAATTTCTGAGGCAGGGTTCTATAATCCCTACTGACCGGGACAGCACTCAATCTGGGACAAAACTCAATTGTTGGGCTTGGGAGATAGCTCTGTGTCCTGGGCATACTGAGCTGGCCACCAAAACTGGGTGTGGTGGTGCACACATGTAATCCCAGTGCTGGGGAAGCTGAGACAGGGAGGCTGAGACAGGTGGATCACTATGAGTAGGAGCTGCTACGTAGCAAAGACCCTGTACCAAATAAATAAACATTTTTTAAAATTAAAAAAACTGTCCTGTAAATGGGATATCATGTCTACATCTTGTACAGCAAATAACCACTAGGAAGAATGTATGCAATGTGTTAATTATTGAAACTGTCCTACCAATTTGGTTTGAAACTGTCTCATTGCTATTTGTTTTTCAATAAAATTATGGAAAAATAAGTAAATAAAATAAATTTTAAAAACTGTTCCAGAACATTATTATATAGTAATAATAATAGCAATAATAATAATATAATGAAAGTTTAGTGAAGGGGCTCACGCTGAGTGCTATCTAAGCAAGTGGATATCCAGGGACTTTAGGAAGAGTAGAGGCTAAGAGTTAGCCTCATTTATAAAGAACTGTTAAGCATGTGTACAAATGTTAAGCATGTGTACAAATAAGTGGAATCATAAATAGCTGCCACTTACTAAACACCTGCTATATGCCTGACACTTTACATTTATTATTGCCTCTTTTCAGCAGAACCTTGCAAAATGGGTATTGCAAGAGGAGGTCCCTGTGTAAAAACAGGCTTTTAGAAATTAAAGCTATACAGCAAGTTAGTGGCAGAGCCAGAATTTAAGCCATTCTGATTCCCAAGGCCATTATCTTTCTACTAAATCATGCTACCTCTCCACAAATAGATAGCCTAGCTCAAATTTTAGCTTCTATCTTGCAACATCTTTCCTTCTTTTTTGTACGTTTTCTTCTTCATTGTGAAGGTCCACTAGACCGAAAATATCAAAACATGTTTTTCTACCAAATAACCTGTATTGAAATATAACTTGGCTATGGTAGAATGAGAAATGTTTCCAAGATTTTAAAACCAGAATCACCGGTAGTCTGAGTCATGAACATTTATGTTCTTGTGGTTGTCGCATTTACCTCACTGCAATCACAGGGAGCCTAATTTTGCACAATAAGTAGGGGTCCCAGTGTGGCTCTAATGTAAGATGTGGGCCTACTATAACGGTATGTTCTACCTTCCTGCCCCTGGAATGTCCACTAACACCCCCAAATACATACCACCGGTGATGCTGTACAGATGGTAATATCTGAGTAGTCATAGCAATAGAGTGCTCCACGGTGGAAAGCAACACTGATGGAACAAGATTAAGGAAGTTCCCATTATAGTGCTAGCTCAACCAGGTATCTCTGCCCTTTGAACTTGACCTTATCTGCCCTCAAGACAGTCAGCTCTATCAGAGTCACCATATGTCTGTGTAGCAGGCCATGGATCCTCAGCTACCTTGAATGCAAAATCAATATATCCCTGAGCATGGTTCAGGAATAAATAGTACTTTTAACTCAGCTTGTTTCAGAAAAGGTAAGACAGTATTAAGTACCCCTAGCCTGAACTGATCCATCTTTTCAGACCTCGTGTAAGACTCTGAGTGCTTCAGTTTGGGGGAATTAATACTATAATAAAAAACAATAATAATAATAATAATAATAATATGAAAGTCTAGTGAAAGGGCCCAAGCTGAGTGCGATTTAAGCAGCTGTTAGGCGCAGTTCTCTGTGACTGGAACTATAAACGAGGCCCTGGGATTTTAACATCTACACCTTTCTCCTCAGTCCTGCAGGGGTCTCTGTTCTTGCTCAGTCTCACCGGTGGAATTTCCACTCCTAAAACCCTTAAATAATTCCACCTATACAGAAGTCAGTGTGACAGTAAATTCATTCTATTTTCCTGATGCCAAATTCTAACTTACAAAAAACAAAAGTCAAACAAATAAACAAGAAAAACCTCTCTAAAGATATGGTGGACTAGATTAGAGTTGCCATGTTTACTTCCAGCTGCAGGACTTCCTAGGAGACCCAGGATGTACTTTGCTGGTGCCCGGGCGCATGCATTGGGAGCACCACGTCATCCAGAAAGCCTGCACTTCTTCGGATTACTGCTTGGCGGATTAGAAACCCGCAGATCAGTTCTAGGTTAGCCCTGATTAACTGGCTTGGCTCTTTCAAGCCAGGAGTGTATGCCGGCTGGACTCCAACCAATACTAGCGGTAAGGGTTCACTTGACAAAGAGTTAATTTTTACTTAAACACAACCCAGGCTAATAATGAAGCCACCAGGAATGATCTGGAATGCTAACTAAACGGTGCCCGCAATCGCGTCGGCCCAACCTCCTGCCCCCCACGGTTCTGTCTGCCCACATGCTTCTGTCTGTCAGCATTGGCCTCGGGATCAGCTCTCGTCGCCTCATTGGTTGGATTGCAGGAAGGGAGAAACCCTTGATTTAAAGGGCTCAGTTTCCACCTGCCAGGCATCGCCGCACGGTCCAACTTGCCTTTGAAATATATTTAGGCAAGTCTCTAGTACTTTCTCATCGAGCACACCGACTGGCCAAAGGAAAGAGAGTTCCCGAGAGTGTCCCCTTAGTCACCTTGACAATTTACAAAAGCGAAACTCGCGCACCAGACCAGCGTTACACTGAGTCTGCGGGGTGCGGAGTCCCTGCCCAGGTCAGTAGCGCCGGCCCCCGCGGGCGGGACGTGCACCAGGCGTGGTCTTCCGTGGGAGAGAAGAAACAAAAAAAAAAAAAACTTGCTCTGCTTCTAGCCAATCAAAGAGGCCTATGCAAATAGGACCCCTGTCGCCCCGGTAACCACGATACACAGGATCCAATGGAAACCAGCCAGCTGAGGCCCTATACAACGATTGGGGATGAAGTAAGGAGGCAGAGACCCAATGGGCTGTGGGAACGGTCCTCGGCGGGTTGAGGGGCGGGGATATGCAAAAATAGTTTGAAAAGCCGGCGGGAAATCTGAGTTTCGCGGGAGGACCTTGGCGCGTAAACCGTATCCCTTCATTCATTGTCAGCAGCAGCTTCCTGGAGCCATTTTTCAGCTGCCGGCCGCAGCACCCGGGCTGCCGCCGCCGCCTCGCAATCCGTTGCATCGGCTGCCCCCGACGCTTCCATCCCCTCTCGGGGCCTAATATCCGTGCGGCCGGGACCCTCCTCTCTTCAGATCCCCGATTATTTTTGGCCCCCGGGGCCTGTGCGGTGCGGAAAAATAAAAAGAAAGAGAGGGGCTCGGAAGCGCCGGGCGGGGAGAGAAGGAGAGACTTGGAAACTCGGACTGCAAATAATAAAGAAATTGAAAGCAATACATTAATATACCGTAACACTAAAAAGATCAGGAGCGAGAGATGAGAAAGGGGATCCAGCCCGCCCTGGAGCAGTACCTGGTGACCGCCGGGGGTGGGGAGGGGGCGGCTGTCGTCGCCACCGCCGCTGCAGCCTCCATGGACAAAAGGGCACTGCTAGCCAGCCCCGGCTTCGCCACCGCCGCCGCCCCGGGCGCGTACATCCAGATCCTCACTACGAACACGTCCACCACCTCCTGCTCCTCCTCCCTCCCTAGCGGCGCGGCCGCCGCCGGCCCCCTCCTCCCCAGCGCCCCCGGCGCGGAGCCGACGGCCGGCAGTCTGCTCTACACCACGCCGCACGGACCCTCGGGCAGAGCCGGGCTGCTGCAGCAGCTACCAGCGCTGGGACGCGGCGGCGGCGGCGGGCCTCCGGTAATCCCCTCTCCTGCGCCCCGGCCGGACGGGAGGTGGGCTTCGCCGCACGGGGTGGGGGCGCCGGGCCGAGCGCGCGGGCCTCGGACGCTCGGAGGCTGTTGGCGCCCAGCAAGGGCTCATTGTTAGACTCGCGCGCTCCCCCCGGCGTCTGGAGGGTCGGGGGGTTCGGCCCGGCGCGTGGGGCAGCGGGGACCAACCGAGCGCCATCCACGTCAGGCACTCCGAAACTTTTCGGGGCCCCCGGTTCTTTTCTTGCACTTTTCCCTACCCCTGTTCTCCCCTCCCCTCCAACTCGAAGCTTCCTCTTTCTTGGGCGTAGGAAGGGGTCACGCCCCGGATGGAGAAGGGGTGGGGGAGGGAGCAGTGATCGGGGGCTGGGGGGGTGCCCAGGGGGTGCAAACTGCGGGGATTGTCTCGGTGCTCGATCCCTCTCCTTTCGGCCGGTCTCGGAAGCCCCTACGGGGCCGGGGGTCCCTGGGGCGTTCTCGGAGCGTAGGGGCTGGCTGGACACTTCGGGGGACCTGGTACGCCCCTCAACAAAGGCGCGGCGGGGAGCAGGGTGGCGGAGACGCCACGGGGAGCCGGGGGCGCGCTGGGACGGGGGCTGTCCGGGGCGCGCGGACCCGGGGCTCCAGCCCCGGCCTGGGCGCATCCCGCGGCGGCCGCGTGGCCAGCGCGCCCGGGCCTTCCTCGCCGGCCCCGGGCCTGCCCTTGACCCGCCTCTTCCCGGGCCCCCGCTTCCTCGCCCTGCCCCCCCCTCCGCCCCCCGGCGACGCAGGGCGGGGGCAGCCGGGCTCCCGTCCCGCAGCCCGGGTCTGTCCCTCTCTCCGGGACCCGCCGGTGACGTTTCGCACACGTGCGCGGAGGACGCGCCTGTGACTGGGGAGGCGGCGGCGGCGGCGGGAGGGGGCGCTGGAGGGGGAGAGGGGGCACCCACTTCCTCCTGCTCGCCGGCTCCCTGGCCTGGGACGGTCCCGGCGCCCTCGCACCCGCCCCCGGCACCGCCACCCTCCCTCTCCCGTCCCCACCCCCCCGTACCGGCGCCCGCCCGCGCCCGGCGCCGCCGGTCTGCTCGGCCCTCCGGGCCCCCTCTCCCGCCTGCCCCCACTGCCCCGGAGCCAGGCTGCCTTCGGAAATGCCCTTACAGCAGCAGGTGAGTGACCGGGACGGCGCGGGGACCGTGGGCGCGGGGGCCCCGTTCCGGGGGGGCCGGGGCCGGCAGGGTAGGCGGCTGAGCGGGGTTTTGGAGTGGGAACGGGGGGTTGGGTGCTCGAGGGAAATGAGTAAGCAAGAAAAATCCAACTAAGTAAATGCCCCGGCCTCGGGGACCGGGAGCCCCGGGGCGGGAGTGGCCGCCCCAGGGGGGTGGGTAGGGTGTTTATGTGTATTTTTTCTAGGGGATGGATGGATGGGCGATTGAAAACCGGAGGGGGCTTCTCGCCAATGGCCGAGTTGAGCTCTGTTTTCTGTCTTCCTTTCCTTGTGCTGGAGGGGGAGGGGGCGGGTCAGAGGGTAGGGTGTCCGTGGGGTTCCCAGGCCACCCGCCACCCCCTCCCTTTGTCCCTGTAATTTATAAAGCGCCTTTGAGAGATGATTTAGGTCAGTATGCGGCTTCTCTTTTTGTTGGTGCTAGAAAGAAGTGTGGCCCGGAGGTCTCCCCCTTTCTCCTTTTCTCTCCTGAGTTCCCCTCCTCCATGCCTCCTGGTCTTCACCCTCGTGGTGAGCTTTGGCCCGAACGAGGCTGGGACCCGACCGGACTCAGGCAGATGAACGGAGGCTTGATAGGACCAGTTGTGAACCTCACCATGTCTCTGTTCTAAATGGGTTTATTATATTTTATATTTACAGAACCAAGATTTTTGCGGGAGGAGGGTGGCTGAGAAAGTCTGTACATAGGCAGCGCGTAGGGGAAAAAGAGGTGGGAGTGAAAATAATTAATTTTTTTTATTTCCTTCCTATTCCTCATTTTCCCTCGGATTGGATCTTAACTGCTTTCCAGCTCCAGGGATATTTGCTGGGGATGTGTGATATAGTCTCAAAAGAAGCTCGTGGTTTTTTTAGTGACAAGGGTCTGCCAGCAGGGGAGAAACCGGAGTACTGTACCTGCTTCCACGTACAGTAGCTTGTGTGCTGGGTTCTCAGCCACAAGAGTACTCCAGGCTCTTATTAGAATTAGTTATTCTTACTGACAGGGACCTAAACATACTTGGCCATATTTTGACCATATTTCCCACACACACACAGACCTGTTACTATACCATCAGCCTAACCTGAAACAAGTAGCCATTGACAGATTTTCTGGATTCATTGGGGGCGGGTGATAATAGCAAATTGTCAGACCACTAAATTACAAAAAAAATTATTAGTGTGCTTGTTGAACTGGGTCTCCAAGACCGTCTAGACAAATTCATATGTAGTTCATTGTATTTAAAGTATAAAAAAAATTGCCCTCACCATGTTCCAAGTTGTTTTGAAACTTTATTCTCTTTGTCATTAGGTTATTATTCTAAAAATGTTATTTTTTAAATTTCTATACTCAACATATTTTTCATTGTCAGAACCTGTATAATTTCACAAGTAGTTGTACATGTGATTACAGTGTATGCTGAATCATTGGATAATCTGCTTTTAAGATATGGGTCTTCTGGGGAGGGGGAGGAAATTTATTTAGTCAATGCGTACAAAGTACTGAGTATTTTTGTTGTTGTTATCAAAATTAAATTAGACTTCCATTTGAGTCTTGGAATTTTATTGATACTCTTTCCCTAAGCAGGATCAACAAGATGGAATAGCTATGATTGGCTGAACCAAGTTAAGACCACCTAAACATTATCCAAGAAGAGGTTGAGAATTCTTCAGGTGGTCAGAGCTGCAGAGTCATCTGGTTCTGTTTCCAAGTTCTGTCTCAAGAACATCTAAGAACTTAACCAGGATCAAATTCCTCACCTTTTTACTAGCTGTATAGCCTTCTCTGCCATTTACAAGTTGTCTGATCTTAGGCAAACAATCTGACCCCTCGTTCCCTTTCTTGGTAAAATTAGTATACAGTGATGGAATTTTTTTGTAACTTAAAGAAATAGTAAAGACCACATGCATACTGTCCCTTTGTTTACAAGAAGGGCAAAATGGTGAAAAGTTTTCTAGGATGTTATGTAGTTAATTATTTACTTTGAATTAACTTGGATTTTGAAATACCTAAAACATGGCCATCCTGGCGCCAGGTAATTGGGCGTATCAGTAAGACCTGCTATAGAAATGAAAGTGCCAGAGTTTCCTGAGCATGTGCCTTGGATTGTGACAAATTTAGGTCAACTCATCCTCACTTGTGTGCATGAGTTGCACTCCTCCCATGAGTCCATGGCCCTGCCAACATTTGGGTACAGTTTATGTTTAGTAGCTTTTGTTAGAACTAAATTCTCAACCTTTGCCACATCAGAGATGCGCACTACAGAAATTCAGCTATAGGTGGTGAGACTGAGTGGAATGGATGAAGTCCAAAGAAACCGTTGTCAGAAGTGCTTTTCCCTGGAGCAGATGGGGCTTCATTTTCCATCTCTTCGTTTTTTTTCTAGAAAGAAGCTGAAATTATTTCCTTCTAGAAAATTTGGTATCTATTAATGCAAGAAGCAATGGCCTGTCACATCATCTTAAATTTAATCCAGTCATAGCAGCCTGCTGATTATACTTCAGGAATGAACTCTTAATGCTTGAAATTTTTATCTGAGAGTAGAAAAACCATAGGTGCTATTTCAGCAGGGTCTCTTTTCCTGCACAAGTATAAAAGAAGAAAAACGCCGAGTTCCTGTGGTTCCATACTCAGTAATCTTGCTTCTGCTGAGATATAAGATTGATGTCAAGTTTAAGCTAGGAGAGAATTTCTAGTGACTGCATACCCCAAAGTGGAAGTTTTAATACCATGCAGTACCCAGGCTGGGGCAGTATGAAGAGCTCCACTATTACCAGTACCGAGGGCGGGATCTTAATCACCCTGCAACAAAGTGCCCTGAACTGTGGCCCTGTGGTCAGAAGTACCCAAGCTTGGGAACAGGAAAGGATTTTTTTGTTTTTCTGTAAATCGCCACCTGTGTGATACTTGGAAGGGTAGATTCTGAGATTAATGTTGGGCCAGGTAACGCTAATTTGAAAACAGAAAATAATACTCTGAGCTTAGACATGAATAACACCTGGAAATTGAAAGGCTGGGGTGAAGGAGCTTTGATTGTGGTTTCTCAAAACTATAAAGAGGTAGTTTTCCTTTACTCTTTTTGGGTGGTTCTGTTCTGATTTGACTTTGTGGTTGAACCTGGGGCCTTTGCACTGATCTATACCCCCTAGCCAAATAGAGTGAGTAGTCATGTTGCTCAGGTTGTCCTAAAACTTGGGGTCCTCCTGCCTCAGCCTCCCAGAGTGCTGGCATTATAGACATTTATCACCATGCCCAGCTAACTTCTATTCTTTATTGCCATCTTGTATGACATGCCATCCATGCCTTCAGCGCCTTTCTAAGGGGCTCGGACCTATTTAGCAAATAACATTGCATATTCAACTTCATTTTCTGATTTGTTTTCTAACTTGACCTGATTTATAAATAAGCCATTTGTATGACCAGTGACACCCATTTTTCAAGGAAACCAACTCCCAGACCCTTTTAGCCATTCAGTTCTAATACTTTTAATTACGGTGAGTTGCGAGCAGCTGCCGATGTTCCTCACATTAGTCCCTTACAGATTCCTTGGAAACCACCACATATAGTGCAAAGTGGAAAAGGTAAATTTCAATTCTTAACAGATTCTGTTTCACTTTGTTTCTTGGAGGGGAACCTCACTGAATTCTTGGAGGTAGTAAGCATGTGGTTTGATGCGTGTGCAGAGTATTTACAATTGCCAAAGAGGGTGTTTTTTTTTTTTTTCCCCCCCGTCTTGTTTTATTTTATTTTTTTTTTTTCTAATCATTTTTTGTGGAACTCAGACACAAAGATAACCGGGGAAGCAGTAAAT